CTCTTGGGGTCTTGCAGAGAGACTAGATCACCAGAAGAAAGCAGTCGAATAGTACTAGTAGTATTGATTCTTTCCCACCCAGACATACAAATATTCACAACATTGACCCAGAAGGAAAGCCCAGGTTGCTTTTTGGGGAAGCAGGCTGGGGTAATCTGTCATGTCGGTAATTTATATAATGCTCTCTCTTGATAGTAATTTATATAATGCTCTCTCTTTTTTTTTTTGCTTGTCTTTTTATAATGCTCTCTCTTGATAGTAATTTATATAATGCTCTCTCTTGATGTTTTCTGAAAGACACTTTTCTCTCTCTCCAGAATTAATGAAAGTATATTGCTGATGGGGGCTGTTGTTGACCCCTTTCTGACTCGTGGAGACTCTGTCCCACAGAGCGCAGCAGCGCCCTGCTCTGGACCATCCTCACACTGGGCCATCGGTGCAGCTGTCACACCTGGGCCTCTCATCGAGGGTCGTCTTCTTGTTCACATGTGCTCTTTCCCAAGAACCAGGCACTTATCCCTGGGCTAGCTTCCTGATAACCTGTCCAAGGTACATGAGATAAAGTTCTGCCAGCCTCACTTTTAAAAAGACATACTTTTTCAGATGGAAATTCATTCGTTCTTCTGGCTGCCCAGGATGCTCGGAATATTTGCACCGTAATGCACATGCATTTCCCACTGTTCCTGTGCACTGGAGACAGAAATAGCATCGGTCACACACATCTTAGTCCTCCTAGGGATATCCTTGCTCTGCAATCATTTTTCATTTTTTATTTTCTATCTATTTGTTTGCAATCATTTTTTAACAGATGTCTTGCAGCAGATTTGTCCAGTGTGATACACTGTCTGATTTCCTGACTGTGGGTTCCATGGGTATCAATTCTATATTCAAGTCAAATGAAGCCCTTGACAACTTCAGTAGTTTCTCTTTTGGATACCCACTACCCTGCTGATCAGGGTCGTGGCGCGAATCTTTGTTTGCTTTATAGTTGAGGGTTAGATCACAGGTTTAGATCACACGCAAGGCTGAGGTCTTTGATCTTTATCAGTGTGTGCCCCACCTTATTCTCCAGTAAGCAAGGTTAGGTCATCACCTACCTATCGCAGATTCTTCCTCCTGCCTTGATGCTGGGTTCTTCTGCATCCAGTGCAGAAAGAATACGACCCTTACCTTCCCGATTTTATATCACACATGATCCTCATGCTTTGTTTGAGTGACTGCCTCTTGGTCCACAGGAGCACAATTACGTGTTCTGGAATT